TTAAGGTTTATTTTATTATAGAAAGATAAGATTAAAACAGTTTAGGGTAATGTAATGACAGAATATTATGAAATATGGAAAGGATTTGCTGGGATAATTAATAACTAGGATACAAAGAAAGGGAGGAGGAGGAGGTCAAAGAAAGAAGGTAATGACAGTTGAGGATTTGAGAATAATGAATTTGTTTTTAAATGTTTTTTAATTGTGTGTGATGTATTTCTGTATTTTCTTTTTTTTTGGTCACTTTTTCTTATCTTTGAATTTGTATTCATACAGTTGGAAGGGGTTTGTTTTTTTTCCTTTTTCTACTTTGTTAATTATTTTTATTTTGTATTTTCTACTGCTTTTATTTTATTTGGTAACACTTTGAAAATTTCAATAACTATCTTATAAAAAAAAAGAAAACCCAACGAATAGGAGTGCACGGATCCTGTCCGGAGATCTTTCCTCCCCTGCCGCTTGCATTCCCCGTCGTTCTGAGCTGACACCTCACACTGAGCGGTGCTGGGAGCATGTGCTGACAGCAGAAAGCCAGCAAAGGAGCCCGCAGCTTGGCGCACGCAACAGGATGCATTGCACAGTGCCCACAACATTACACAGTGCTCTGGGAACCGCGCGTTCAGCCGAAACAGTTAGCCGCCATGCGGGGGGGCAAGCAGCGGGTGGACAGCGTGGCAACTGTGCCGCCTGACATTTTGTCCCACCCCAGCATGGAACCCGCACCCACCTTCATACACCCCTGAGCGAGGGGTGCTGGCACCCCCGTTGGTTGGCGCTGTGAGTCCCTGCGTCCTGCAACCGTTCCAAAGCTAAACAACTATTTCCTTAGAAAAAGTTTGACAACTCCGAGCAACCTAGGGGCGCTGGGTGGATTTTTGCATCCCGGCCCTGCATATGCTTAAGACGGCCCTGTCTAACCATATGAAACCATACCCTCCAACACGTTCAGGCCAAAAACCGGGACACATGTCACATGACGCACACAAGATCGCAGCCCTGAAAAAAAGCACTTGGCGGGCAAGATTGCGGTACCCAAAATGGCTGCCATGGTCTTGCATGAAAAGAGACGGCATGTCCTGGTTTTCCCCAGACAGTTGAGGGGTATTCTTTAAGCACAGCATGCAAAGGGACAAACTATGCTTAGCTCAAAGACGGGAAGGCCTCTAGATGTTGTGCTGAAGGGAGTTGGGGTCCAATATCGGGAGAGCTCCCCCCCATCTTTGAACCAAGCATGGGTTTGCAAACTGTGGCTCAGAGGCAAGGGACTAACCATAGCTTGCCCGTGCCTTTCTCCTCCAACATTACAAGACTAGAAAGGAACTATAGATCAAAAGCAAAAATGTGAATGGGTTCTGTATTGTGGCTTGGGAGTCAGAGATGGGACTTGGGTCTGGACCAGTTGACGACCTCTGCAGTAAAGGATCTCTGGTGTTTGCGCATGCACGGGAGTGCAGGAATGCATAAAATGGGATGAGCAGGTGAGATATTTGATTCACTTCTCATTTAAAGGCTAACCTCCCAAATTTGTACTTTCCAAAACAATACCATAAACCACAAGACAGGCATTCTCTGAATTTTGCAATGCAGCTCTCAAGCCAGGTAATGAGTTCAAAAATGTATATACCAGGGTAAACTGTGGGTCAAAATGCACCTATATGTGAAAATAATACTAAAAATGCGGTCTATTAGGGAAAAATTGCTTTGCAAAACTGTGTGTTTCAGGGAAAATGGCGTACAAACATATGCATGTTAGGAGAGATTTGCAGCTGAATTTTCAGGAGGCTGTTTTAAATAAAGTAATTTGCAGACGGATGAGGAAATGATTAAAATTGAGCTTCAGGTGGTTAAAAATGAAAAAAACAAAAATTGACAAATTTATCCATCCCTAGAGATGAGTCGGGAAGAATGTGCTTGCGGGGGAGATCTGTGAGCACAAACCCCAGCGCTTCCACTTCCAGCTGCAGTTGATGGGCAGCTAGTGGATATCCTCCCAGCTGCCTCTCTTCTTTCCAGCAGTGGGAAAACAAGCTTTTGCAGGAACAAGCTATTACATCTCATTACGCCCTGATGGCTTGGGGCGTGCATTTTTACATATAACCGACATGCAGCCTTAAGCAAAAAATAGAAGTTTACATCCCACGTTGTGGCCACCCTAAGCGAGCCCACATGGTCTTTTCTCGAAGAGAGAGGGAAGGAGGTCTTGACCCAGAACAAATAAGGGTTTCCAAGGGCTTGTTTTGAAACAGCTGTTGGACTTTCCACTCAATGGCTTTCTTAGTTAGCTTGGAAATAATTAACAACCGGAGAGGAGGATGTTTTTATCCCGTGTTCCTCGGGGGGTGGGGAGCACAACAGCCTTGTTGTTAACCACCCGGTCTCAAATCACCTCTAGCAATATTCTGCAGCCATTATAGTGGGCTAATTTTAACCAAAATAGGCCCCTTTGAAGCACAGAAGAACAGGAAAAGTCGTTGTGCACAGGCCTCAATGTAAACCAGGAAACAGACTGGAGTTTTGGTGGAGAAGGTTGCTGAGTATTCCTCGTCACCTGGCAGAAACAACTCATTCGAACCAATCAAAGCTGTGGGATAGCTCAGTTGGTAGAGCATGAGTCTCCTAATCCCAGGGTTCTGGGTTTGAGTTCCATGTCTGACAAGAAGATTCCTGAATTGCAGGGAGTTGGACCTTCCAACTCTACAAATCTATGATTCTATAGCTCTGTAAGCGCTTGTTTTCCACCTGCTCAACAGGTATACTTGTAAATGAGCCAAGTATTACAAAAAGCCACTAAAACGCCCCAGAGCTTTCTCTCATAGAGAATTTTGTAATTATTGCCAGGGTTGATGGCAGAGCAAGGGAATGACTGTGTATACAACTGTGATTTATAAAGCTTCTTGACTCAGATTAAACAGGCTCAACCATTTTGGGAGAAAGGATGTATTTGGAAATCTAAGAAATGACGGTAAAGGTAAAGGTAAAGGGACCCCTTACCGTTAAGTCCAGTCGCAGACGAGACTGGGGTTGTGGCACTCATCTCGCTTTATTGGCCAAGGGAGCCGGCATACAGCTTCCGGGTCATGTGGCCAGCATGACTAAGCCGCTTCTGGCGAACCAGAGCAGCGCACGGAAACACCGTTTACCTTCCCGCCAGAGCGGTACCTATTTAACTACTTGCACTTTGACGTGCTTTCAAACTTCTAGGTGGGCAGGAGCAGGGACCAAACAACGGGAGCTCACCTCACCCCGTCGCGGGGATTCGAACCACCGACCTTCTGATCAGCAAGTCCTAGGCTCTGTGGTTTAACCCACAGCGCCACAAAATCCCTGTTTCACAGAAGAAAAACTGGCAGGGTTTAGAAACCCACATGTGAGCAGGGAAAACACCAACAATGCCCCCCCAAAGTAGGAAGCACCCTCCAAATGCAGGTATTCCCACCAACCAACCAACTCCCCATATCTTAATTTAAAATCATCTTGGCCATTGCCAGGGAGAGTGTCTAAGGCTTTCATAATTTTGTATTTTAGATATTCTTAAATGGCTGGTCTATGACTGTAATAATAAACTGATTGAAGGCCACCGCGGTGCCCATGGGCCCCATGTTGGGCCCCTCGGATTTGAGCAATCGCCCTGTGTTTCAGGGCTGTCTCAAGACATTTTGCTGCCTGAGGCAAAGGGGAAGATGGCACCCTTCCCCAAGAAAGGTACAGAAGCCAGTCTGAATCTTCCTCCAATCTTGGTGAAAGGATGGAGTCTTTCACTGCAGTCATCTAATATAGGGGTTATAGGGTAGGACACCAGGCTGTACCTCCCCGCACCTCAACATCTGCCACCTTAGGCAGCTGTCTCACCCTGCCTCATTGCAGGGCCGGTCCAGCTGTGTGTCTTCTGCTGTGCTAGATCTTGGCCAGTGTCTTGGTGGCAGCTGTCCAAGATCTCAAGGCAAGGGTTACCACCCCCCCAGTGAATTCCAAGATAAGAAACCACAAGAAATAAAGGCATCTCCCTGTGCCAGAAGATTCCTTTTATGGCATGTAATGTCTTGAATGTGTACACTGGCTTCAATCTACTGCCAGATCCAGCACGAGTTCCTCGTCCTCCATGCCCTTTCCTTCATATCTCCTTGCTTTTATGCCCTGATAACATCCCCTGTCATCTCCACCACCATCAACCATCCAAAGGTCCTCCCTTTCTCCTTCAGAGATAAGGAGACAGGAGGCCGTCTTACACGGCCTCAGACCACAGGTCCACGTGGATCAGTATTGTCTCCACAAGGAGTTCCCCAACGGCTGCTCGTGGAGAACCTGTGGTCTGTGAGCTTCACTCAGGTGGTCCATGGCATGTCTGTGAAGAACACCTACAATCTGAATTCTGTGAATAAGAATAAAACACAGTGAATTGAAGTGGCAGTAAAAATACAATGATAAACCACACAGCATCTAGCATGGTGCATTGAAGTTACTACAAGCAAGAAAATCAGGAAGGAAGTCTATGGTGGTCAACTCTTCTTGGTTGGAGGCTTTCTAACAGAGGCTGAATGGCCAGTCATCATGGATGCTTTGGTTGAGATGCCTGCATTGCAAAGGGTTGGAAGAGATGACCCACAAGGTCTATTCTATGATGCTACGATACCCTCAGTGTTTTTCAAGTGGTCTGGGGAGAGGGTGGGAGTTTGGGAATTGCTGGTCTACACTGAGTGGCAGAAGCTCTACAGGATTTCAGGCAAGGGAGCCCCACCTGCAGATGCCAGGTGTTAAGTTGTGGGTGAACATATCAGACAACACAGCGATTCTTCAAACAGCTCTTGTTTATTCACAGGCCAGAACAGAACTGAACTGAAGGGTTCAGCCAGCCTGCTTATATAGAGCTCCAGTAGAACGCAACAGTAACCACTTTCTGTAACTATCCAATGAAGGTCACTTTCAATTCCTTATTTGCATATGTGGACCTGAGTGAAAACTATCTACAGTATCCCCCTGCTGGCCCAGGGTGAGAACTTCAATACATAACACCAGGAATCAAACCTTTGACATTCTGCATGCTAAGCGGATACTCTACCTCTGAGCTATAGCTCTTCTGAGACCTCACCTTCTCCCCCTTGCTACCCCATATATCCAGAACTATGTTTCACAACACCTGAGTGGTGCCATCCCTTGCTATCCATCTTTCTCCAGCTCCAGACATTCCTTTCCCAGTGCAGTCCTGGTTGCATGATGGAACTGTGGTTTGCTTTAACCAATATACTGAAATTCCATTCACACCAGTGGGCGTTGCATGACACAACAGCAAACATCATGGGACAACAGGCGTACTTCTGTGTGCAAGGTCAGGAAAGAACCTTATGCAGGTATGCCAGGCCAAATTGCTCACTTTCCACCTGCAATTTTCTGGGTTAATGGGATTGCAAATGGATTCCCCGCCCCCCCTAGAAGCCGTTCACATGGAAATGAGCGCTAAACTTTCCCCATATTCCGCTAGCTTTCCAGAGGTGACTCTTCTAAGTAATGGAAATGTCAGGGAAATGGAACAAATGGCTGTGGGAATGCATCCGTCTGTCAATGCCATTTTGCAGAACGCACCCTTAAAAAACACCAGAAGCCACCAGTCTGGAAGTAGCCTCAGAGAGGTGGGACCACAAAGCCCCGAAATCATGTGCAGATACTTCAGAAACCAAAACAGCAGATGCTGAATTCGCCATGAGCATGCAAAAGAAAAAAATATCTGTGGATTAAAGACCTTGTTTCCCTATCTTTAAAGCTTTCGTGTCACATATTAATCTTCCTAGTAAACAAACCTCACCATCACATTCGCGGCTCTGCTCTCCGGGTCAATAAAAAGACTTAGGAATGTACACACCCGCACAGCATGTGATGCCTTCTGCAAGAGCCAACAATGGCATCCGAGAGTGGGCGTGCATTCACCATTTATGGAGTCAGGGAAGGAAAAAGGCCTTTCTAGAAAGAGCTTGCAAAACACTTAAGGAAGGTTGAACTTCCACCCTTTCTTGCTGCTTAGTGGTGCCAGGTATAGTATAACAATTGTAAGGTCCCAAATATAGAATGAATGTTGATAATTGCACAAGGTAAACACACATACGTAAGTATATAAACCACATGTCTCAAATAGTACAGGAGAGCAATGCAAAAGCCATCTTGGCTCTCCTAAAGGCTCTAAATATTTCCTCTGCCCCCTTAATCCCCCTTGCCAGAGAACACAGTTCCTGAAGGGATTCCTCTCCTATATCTATGAACCTCCTTTGTAATTATTTGTCACTGTTTGCCCAGATGCTCTGCCTTAAGGGAAATCTGACGGGGGGACTATGTAAAACTTGCTAAATTCTCAGGAATATCACACCTTGGCCTGCCTGAGCCACAGTCACCCCACCTTAAGTGTGATGCAATTTCTGACTGTTTGTAGAGGGGATGTCCTTCTTCTCTATGCCAAAATGAAAACCCTTAAAAGAGATGTTTCTTCTTGGTTCTGGGTCTCTCTTGCCTCCTTGCTAGGAGGGAAGGGAACTCTCTTTCAGTGTATCTGAAGAAGTGTGCATGCACACTGTTAAGTTGTGGGTGAACATATCAGACGACACAGCAATTCTTCAAACAGCTCTTGTTTATTCACAGGCCAGGACAGAACTGAACTGAAGGGTTCAGTCAGCCTGCTTATATAGAGCTCCAGTACAATGTAACTGTAACAATTTTCTAAAACTATCCAATCACTGAACGTCACTTTCGATCCCTTATTTGCATAACTATCTACAGTATCCCCCTGCTGGCCCAGGGTGAGAACTTCAGTACATAACACACACAAAAACTCATACCTATAACAAACTCAATTGGACTCTAAGGTGCTACTGGAAGGAATTCTTTTATTTTGTTTTGACTACAACAGACCAACACAGCTACCTACTTGTAACTAGAAAAATTGCTTTCACTGCATCCTGCCTCCATCCATTCATCTCTGACCAATCATGGACTTAGGGGACTCAGTCCCTTGAGGAGTCAGGCAGCAAAAGCCAAACACCCCTATTTTTCTATATCACAGGGTAGGCAACCTTTCCAGTACTGAGAATCACATGGCAGAACAACATGGGCTGGAAAAGAGTCAGTCCAGGGCTGCCCAGATGTGGTCCAAAAGAAAGCAGGGCATTACATTTGGCACCAGCTTGGATGCAGGAGTTGCCGGAAGGAGGTGTACAAGGTGCCATCCAACCGCCTTGGGGCCTCCACTCTGGATTTGTGCAGGCTTTGCTCCTTAGCCTTTTCTTTCCCCAAAGATATTCTGCAAGGCAGCAGAGGTTTAGGAACAGAGTTTTCCTTCTGCTAGATGGGCTACCTTCTCAGGTTGATGAGCCCCATCTGCCCCTCACTAGATAGATGATGATAGATGATAGCTAGCTAGCTAGATAGATAGATGAGAGAGAGAGAGAGAGAGAGAGAGAGAGAGAGAGATGATAGATGATGATAGATAGATAGATAGATGATAGATAGATGATAGATAGATAGATAGATAGATAGATAGATAGATAGATGATAGATAGATAGATAGATGATAGATAGATAGATAGATAGAGATAGATAGATGATAGATGATAGATAGATAGAGATAGATGATAGAGATAGATAGATAGATAGATAGATAGATAGATGATAGATAGATAGATAGATAGATGATAGATAGATGATAGATAGATAGATGATAGATAGATAGATAGGTAGGTAGGTAGGTAGATAGATAGGAGAGAGAGATATGATAGATAGATAGATAGATAGATAGGTAGATAGATAGGTAGATAGATAGATAGAGAGAGTGCTTTTTTCTGGGGGTACGCAGGGGTACGCATACCCCTAAACATTTTGTGAATCTAAGTTTGGCCTCATTGAGGGGCAGTATTTCAATATGAGTAGGAAAATGAGAGTACCCCTAAACTCTTTTTTTAATAGAAAAAAAGCACTAGATAGATAGATAGATAGATAGATAGATAGATAGATAGATAGATACTGCCAGGTTTGGGGGCAGGCATGCAGGGGTACCTCAAGTCAGGGTGGGAAAACTCCTCAAAACCTAGAGAGTTTGAAATGCCTGCTCTGGAAGAAGGACGGAAGTTTAAACATCTCAGGCTGCTTTGCACGTCCAAGAAACTTTCTGAGCGAATGTTGGGGAAGGAGGGTGTGTGTGTGTGTGTGTGGCGGCATTTGGCTTCCTTATCACAGAGGCTTTACTGTACGGTACATCTGTCAGCCCATGAAAAATCCAAAGCGAGATGGTAACATACACAGAACCCAAATGTTTACTCTCCTCTCTAAATGCACGGCCTGCTCTTAAGCTTAAGTAGACACACAGGAGATTGCAACGCACTAGAAAGGCCTTTGCGTAGATCATAGGGAAGATCAAAACTTGCCCGCTTGAAGCAGTTTGCACCTTTATCGGTTCCTAAAAATAAATAAATCTCTTCCCCGTTTAGAACTTAGTGAAATTATTTTTTTAAAAAACATACGTTTTGCTTTGTTTTTAAGGAGGAAGAGAGAAATAAGCATGCCCAGCACTGCCAGTCAGGAAATGGCAACAGTAGGCTTCTGTTGACAATTGTGTGTGTGTGCCTAAGTGCATACCCTCCAACACTTCTCCAATGAAAATAGGGACATCCTATTCCATAATAATAATAATAATAATAATAATAATAATAATAATTTTATTATATATACCCCGCCCATCTGACTGGGTTTCCACTCTGCCACTTCTGACATATATAAATGTTGACATATATAAATGTTTATATATGTCGGGCAGCTTCTGACATATATAAAAACATAACAATACATTAAAATAACTTCCCTATACAGGGCTGCCTTCAGATGTCTTCTAAAGATCTCCTTGGTTCAGGGGTCACACAACTCCATACCCTCCAACATCTCTCTGATGAAAATAAGAACATCCTAGGGAAAAGTGGGACATTTTGGGATCAAATAAGAAACTGGGATGGCTTTTGTGAATCAGGGCCTGTCCCTGGAAAATAGGAACCCTTAGAGGGCCTGTAAGTGCTTGCTTTGAAGTAGAGAGGGAGAAAAGGGAGACCTGGAACTTATCTGTTGTAATTTATCGAGAGTGGCAGTTAGGAGAAACAGAAAAGGCAAAGTAGGAATGAGAAATATGTACTGAAGTTCTCACCCTGGGCCAGCAGGGGGATTCTGTAGATAGTTTTCACTCAGGTCCACATATGCAAATAAGGAATTGAAAGTGACGTTCAGTGATTGGATAGTTACAGAAAGTTGTTACTGTTGCGTTGTAGTGGAGCTCTAGATAAGCAGGTTGGCTGAACCCTTCAGTCCAGTTCTGTTCTGGGCCTGTGAATAAAGAGCTGTTTGAAGAATCACTGTGTTGTCTGATATGTTCACCCACAACTTAACAAAATAGACTAATCCCAGGACACCCAATATCATAATAAGACCTTACTGGAACAGGCCAGTGGCTCACTCAGTGGCATCCTGTTTTTACAGATGTCAACCAGGTTAGGAAGTCTGCCAGCAGGACCTCACTGCCACCTCACTCCTGAGGTTTCCAGGAACAATTATTCAGAAACATACTGCTTTGGACTGTGGAGGTATTTTCTGGTGAGCTCTTTTCACATACTGTTAAATTCTGGTTGTGTAATTGACGGGGATTTGGTGTTCTGGCACAACAAACCTGCTTCCTCCCTGAATCAGACTTTTTGCACAAAATAATTTTTATAAAAAAACACACACACCAGAAGCTTTTCTTTTGGGAATTATATGGGCAGAACTACTTAAATTGTATAGAAATTTATGTACGCTACTACAGCAGCAGGAATGCTATTTGCCCCAAAGTGGAAAGAAGCAGAAGTCCCAGCAAAGGAAGAATGGATCCAAAAACTTATGGAACATGCAGAAATGGCAAACTTACCAGAAGAATAAGAAATCAAGATAACAAACTTTTTATAAAAGAATGGAAACGGTTTATTGAATATTTACAGATAAATTGCAAACAGATAAAAACATTAGCAGGATTATTGTAATAACTTGCAGTTTCATAAGAGTATATATTTGAAGCAGAT